TAAGAATGACTTTGATCACGTGGAGAACGTTGTCAGTAAGACAACTTTTTTCACCCACTCATTGTATAAGAATGACAACTCTACCGAAACAAAATTTGAAAACGCAGCTCATCTGAGTGCCATAAGGCATCATTCCGTACTTACTACTGGATCCTTCCCTTCACCTATTTTGTATCTGTTGTGTGTTCAAAACTACAGGCAACCAACCCATTAATAGAAGACTCGTTTTGCACCTCAAATCCTCTTGTTTACTACAAAACACGCGTTCTCTATTAGGGACTACCATGTAACTCCAAGCTCATCAGAACGTTATAATATTGTAATCATTTAGTATACTATAAATACGTTTCAAGGTCAAAGAAAAGCATAAGTATATTTATAAAGATGCTAGAAATAATTTTTTTGGACAATGACCTTTAATTTATCATCAATAAATCATCACGACTACTTTACCTTTGGCAGCACGATTCCAGAACAGATGTCTGCCTTCAGAATTGAGAATGTTATTAAAGTACACACTAATGTCGTACGACGTAGAGACTGACATAATGAGTTACAGGCAAAGTTTATATTAGAATGTTCTGATAAGCGGGGAGCTGCACAAAGATTTCTGGTGGAGTATGCATGTTCTGGGGTAAAGCTTGGAGAAATTTATCTCCCACTAACTGTTATGGTTTTTATATGTTTAAACTTCCATCAACTGAGCTAACCGTATTTGTGTTGTGAAAGTTACATTAAGTACTATCCCATTTTACAACCCTTAGGAGTTCTACAAGAATATTTTCAAACCCATCATTAGCTGAAATGTTAATCAATATCACTATGAATTTTTTAAATAAATATTAAGATTAACGATTTTATGTTGACATTGGCCAAATCATATATATATCAAAGCGAATGCTCCTTAAAATGGTTACAGAAAAATATCAATATAACTAACAAATGGTATGAGTCTGATGCGCCTACGTTTGACTAATGTTTGGAGTGCTTACAACTATTTCTTTGACTGGTATTGTTGAAAAAAGAAAGAATTTTCTTGTGAATCCTTGAAACACTATAATAGAATAAAATCGTTTTTTATTGTTTATAACTTTAAATAACTGCTTCTGGTTATTTGGTCTGAAGTTTTGCTAAAGTTTTATTTATTTATTTCTTTGTTAATGTATATTTTGACAATAGTTGTACTATTATTATTTTCTTTAACTCTTATCAAATTTAATTCCTCTTGAGGATGTTAATGTTTAATTGGACTCGCGAAGTACTTCCGTATAACCTTTAGTTTTTCATAACTTTTCCACAATTTTTTTTACAGAAATTGTACATTAAACAAAATTTAAATAATAGTAATAATAATAATAATAATGATAATAACACTAACAAAGATTATAATAATAACAATAATTAGAGTTATTTTATATGACAAACCAATTATTTAACGGAGTCAATTGTAAGACCTAATGAGGTGACTTATAATATAAAAATTTTATTGTTATTTTTTCTTTAATTGTATTAGAAAGTAGTGTGTACTTTACGGTTGTAAATTAAAAAATAACTTTATTATAAGTAATTTTGATTTAAACAAATTAGGTTTCATTAAAAAACATTTATTTCACTGCTTGAATTATGTTGACTTTTCTCTACTCATTTACATAGTATAAAAAGCTGTAATATACTATAAAAATCATTATTTTCATAAAACAAAAAATTTTTTCTTTACCTTACAGTAAAAATTACAGCAAAAATTCACTGTTCTCACATAAATGTTTATTAGCAAGTGTTATGTGTGTGGATGGTTTGTACGTACACGGAAGTATATGTGTATGTGATACGCTTAGTAAGTATCACTAATCAAACCATCTGTTGGCAGAAAGTTTCAATACTCTATGCAATAGCTAATAAAATACGGTATAACTATGTAAGAAGTGTTGTTTTGTTTTCAAGTTTTTTGTGATTATTAAGTAGTCCGAGGCTTATAAACGTTTGTAACGATAAAATTAGGTACTCAATAAGTAGATACAAAAGTATTTTGGAACAAACGCTATTTTGTGCAGTAAAAATCAACGGCTAAGCAAGCCTATTCAAGCCCGTGACAGTAAGAGAGAGAAGAGAGAGATCAGTTCTGCTAGTCCCTCTCTCTGTCTCAGTTGCTCACATGAGCTTGAGCAGGCTCTGCTTAGCCATAGATTTCAGCTTTATGAAGGAACATTGGTTATTAAATACTATTAGTTACACTGATTAAATATCTAATTTTGTTGTTACGAACACTTTTGTGCCATCAAGTACCTGATAATTAAGAAAAACTTAAAACAAAACTACACTTTCTATACGGTTGTGCTATATCTTATCAACTTGTAATACCTAGCTTTTGACTTTTTTACTCGTTAGATGGCATGAGCACTTCACGCCATAGATACTAAGCGTATAGGTTAAAAATGATGATTTATGGATTGATTTTTGCCCAGCCAATTTTTTTTCTCAACTACTTTAAGCTTAAGAAAAAAATTTGTTTGACTCTTTGTTGCGTTTATTTATGTGTTTTTTATTTTATTTTTAGACAAAACTTTTTGTCAAGACTATTTCCACTTCAAACATTTTCTCCGTACAAGTAAAAATTTCATCAAGTAGGACACTTGGATTAAATGTTTCACGCAGTTAAAGTATATTCTCAATAGTTTTAAAATGTTAGTTTACAAGTATTATTCTCAAATTTTTCAACTAGAAACTAAGAAAACTGTGAAAAAATTTTTAATAATTTGTGCTGTTAACTTTTATATTGTTAACCAATTTTAAACATGTATAAAAATTTTTTTGAATATTGCTATTAAATAAGAATTTAATTTTTTGTTCCATGTAGTCTTGATTAAATTTTAAGAAATTTTTTGGTAAGGTGTAAAAGATGGATAAAAAAAATTTCAAGCTTATAATACTCAAAATGAATGGTCACTCTGATTCGATCTGATTCTCACTCTTTTCAATACTAAAGAGCTCTTAGGAAATCTGTATATTGCTGAGTGAAAATGGTATGTTTTGTTATCCTACATTTTATTACCAATAATTAAAAAATCGTATTCAACATGTGGAGGTAAAAAAGAATGGATCGGAAGATTTTGTTTCTTGAAATGAATAAAATACTTTTTTAATGATCAACCCTATGGTTTTGTAAGACTGTTGGATAGAATAAATTATTAAATTAGTCGTCTGAGTAAATATATACAATTTAGTAAATGAGAGAAATAAGTTTGAAAAGAGTTGTCAAATAATAACAAAGTATGAATGTATGTATAAAAAAAAAAAAATTAACGAACAAAGGTTAAAAAATGTATACCGAACTACAACAAAATTCCGTACAAAAGCAACAAAGTTGTGTGATATGTACGTAAAAAACGTTTGCAGTAATTTTACTTAAAAACCATAATTGCCGTTAATTACTAGGCTACCTATAAGATGAAATGTATATAAGATTAATAAGCATACAACCACCAACTAACTCAATTTTGATCTGATTTTTTTCACAATTACTTGGGCATGAAACTCTACTTCAAATAAACTAATAACTCAAGTAAAATGGTTGGAGAAATCAATGCAATCCTTATGACATATTCAAAACCTGGAAAAAAGTAGTCGGTTTGTAGCCAATATCTTGTTAGTATTACGTTGGATTCCTACAGTTGGTCAACCAAAAATTTCATATTCCAAAAAATTTTAATCCGCAACATTAAACTTATTTAAAATAAGATTTTCATAAGAAATTTTCCTACAGTAAAAAAGAAATTAATTCCTTTTTTAACTCCTTCAAAACATGACAAGGGTGCTTGTAAAAAAAGTTAGCAAAAAATTTAAGTTATTGTAATTTTAACAAGATAACGTGACCTGTGTAATTAGTTTTAATCTTTGATTGTAGTAAACATTAAGGTAAATAATGTTAAAACAGCAAAATAGAAAATTGTGATTACCTGTGAATTAAACGGCTAATTTTCATATCTACTTTAACCGTAATTTTTACAGTATCTTTAGTCATTTATTTTTCTATTGTTCAATCATTATATGTTTTAATCTTTTATCTAATATTGTTTTCGTTTGTTTTGTCCAACTTTTTTACTTTTGTTCTCCATTTTTCGTTTCAGATCGCACACATCTATTCAACCATAAACTATTTGAAGGTAGAACAAGTCGCCTGTGAATGTATCTTGGTAATAAATTATTCATATATACATTATTTATAAATCTCTACATTTAACTGCTATTATGATCTAATTCAACTGTATAATAATGATGAGTATGATGAGATTTTCGATATATTTTCTTATGCCCTAACCAATTTTCTTTCTTGTCACGACATTTCAGAACGTTACTGCTGAATTATTCTAAAAAACAGTTTTAAAGTAACGTAGTTTAGACTGCAATGGTTTGGTATTATCCACACTAGATTATTTAAATCTTGACTTGAATGACACTGTAATTTTGAATCATCTCAAACATTTCAAAATTAATTCAGGCTTTTAACAAAGGCTACAAACCTATGATATGAAAGTTGCCGTCTCAAATAATAACAGCGTAAGTTTCGTTAATACTCATGGTATTTAAGTTTTTTTCGTAAGACAAAAAAAAAGTTTTATCGGTTGTCTATTTTAAAGAAAATAGGTTTTTTTCAAAATACTATAAAATTTTATATATCTTGATACTTATAAATAAGACTACCTCAGATACAGGACTTGTGCACTTGGCAATGGAAGCCCTGTAAGTTTTAGCTTCCTCAGAACTCGACAGTATAATAATCTAGAGATCAGTACATATAGTTGCCATGGGCTCCATCAATTTTTAAAACTGTTATTTCTCAATTTTCCTAGCTGCCCTCATTTTTTGTATTTACTTATTCCACTTTCAAAGCTTGTGTGCAAGTAGTTTGCATACAATATGGCGCTGTTGGAAGGGACTGTATTCAGACATTGGGACTTGGTCTCAGATACTTGTCCATGTCCAACGACGTTAAGCTCAAGCCATTAGGCAATATACAAATCGGAAGGAGTTTGCGAAAGTTCGGGCTTAGTACAGGCACTTCCCGTTGGCGAAGCTGCGCTAGCACCACTACTAGCTCTAGTGGCCGCCAGTGGTGAACGTGATGCCACATCTACTGCTGTTGCCGTAGCACAGTCTAGGTTCAAGCTTTGATGCTGATTCTGATGTAGCAGATGCTGCTGCTGTGACTGCAATCCGAGTTGTTGCTGTAACGCGTTCTCACCCCCATTGAAATTTTGTGAAGATGGTATAGAGTCTCCATCACAGTAATAGTACGTTGAATCTGTTGATATGAAAAGTAGAGTATGATTATCGAAAGAATCGTCATTTTTTAATTTCCACCTACTTTCTTAATACATAGTATTTTGACTCACTCATTTTATATAATCATTTTTATGTAAATAGTATTTATTACAACAAATAGCAGATATAATAACATTAAACCTTTAAGGATTTCTTTACATTCTTCTTACAAGAGAATAAAGGTTCTATAGTTTCTAGAGAATCATAGACAGTTTTTAATCTTGCTCATTCAAGTGTTTTCCATAATCCTTAATTATTTGTATCCCCCCCCCCTCCTCGACATTTACCAGAGATCCCAATTCAAGTTCTACATGATTATTTCAGTTAAGGTATTGTAAGTACAACTTCATGTAGAAGGCTGTTTACTGTCATTAGAAGGAAAATGTGTAACAATTTTCCCACTCACTAATTTTTTACTTTTGTCCCCACTGCTAAGATCACTCTCTTACTGCCTGCTACTACCACTACATGGCCATACAATAGTTATGCACACCATGTACCAAAGCAATAAAGGAAGAACGACGTTCTCAAAGAAGGGGGTGCACCGAGAGACTGATTTATTTATTTATCACATTTTTATGTAGACATTACAATAGTTAAAGTATCTTCACACAAGAAGATATTATTCATCTTGGAATTGGACAAATGCTTGTAAGTATGACGCAGGTTGTTACATCAAGAGTCGAAATGTTAGTAATTTATTGAATAGCTCAAAATCGAGATCTGCATTTTAAATCTCAGCATTGTCAGTTAGTTTTTCCTAAAAAGAGCATCATGAATAATTTAAGAAACTGACAAATATAGTTGCATTTAGGATAAATTTGATTCAATTTTAACCTTATCAATAATACAATAACTAGAATTTTCTTCTAGAGTACGCGAATGCAGATTCAAAAAACAAAATAAGCTTTAGCAAGTGTGTTAGGACAGTAGAACATCTACAAATAAACGTACACAGATTTGAAGTGTTGAAATTGTATTGGGTACAAATTAATTTAACTGCATAAAAAAAACGTATTAACCCTTTAAACAATAAACTTAATGATATATCCAAACAAACCAATAAACTTAATGATCCATGTTTTGGGGTGATTAAATTTATCTGTATTAATCGCAATAAAATATTTTTTATGCAAGTGGAGTGCGTTACGATTGGTTTTAACAGTCATATTAGAGGTTGCTAAATAATAGTTTGAAAAAAAGTAAAAAAACAAAATGAATGAAGTAAATATTTTGTTAGCCCAATAAAAATACATGTTTATAAAATGCGAAAATTTGTTACATCTTAAAGAGATCTTCAGTAAAATTTGGGTGACAAAACCCTTTTTTTAAATTTTTTACATTTTGGAATTTGATAAAATTTCTTATTAAAAGTCGTTCTGCACTTCACAATAAATTTAATAGCTTAACAACTCCTTTTTTTAGTCAAGTTAATATTATTTTTAGCTAAGCATGGCATACGTTAACTACTAATATGGACGGGACGCAATCAGTAATTGACCGGGAAAATTAATTGACCCGCAATTTTTTTGCACCATGTTTAAAACTTGCTACTGTATGGAGAAGTACAACTTACCAGGCAAAAATGTGCTCAGAAATTGTTGAAACAAATTAAGAAAAAAAAATGTAAAAGTTAATGTTTTCGAAAAAAAAAAATTGCTTCTTATTCTTTGGCCCATTTCAAACGAATAATCAATTCGGATGTATTACCTAAGCCCCACAGTTTTTGAGTAAAAAGTTCCCAAAGTTTTGAAAAATGCATTTTCCCGTTTTTCAGAGTTCAATGAAAGTTCTGAATAAACATACCTGTTATAAGTTATAAGACACGAATGTTCATTATCAACCAAAGAAAATGTCAAAAAATTGAGCAGTAAGACTGTTTTTTGCAATATACATTCGTGGCGTTTTAGCTCACACTCCCATGTGAGTGTATATCTATATATGTTTACCACACGCTGAGCCCCAAAGCTTACATATAAGTGTACACTCACATGGAAGCGTGAGCTAAAACACCCCGAATGTATATTGCAAAAAACAGTCTTGCCGCTCAATTTTTTGACATTTTCTTTGGTCTATAATGAACATTCGTGTCATTCGTATAACTTATAAAAGATATGTTTATTCAGCACTTTCGTGGAGCTCTGAAAAACGGAAAAAACGTATTTTTGAATACTTTGGGAATTTTTTTATTAAAAAACTGTGGTGCTTAAGTATATACATCCCAATTAATTATTTATTTGAAATGGGCCAAAGAATAAAAAGCAATTTTTTCCTTAAAAAAAAAAGATAATTCTTATAATTGTTTAATAAAAAACTTTTTTAAATAATTTCTGACCTTATTTTTGCTTGAAAAACTGTACTTCCTCATACAGTAGCACATTTTTAAACAAGATGGTACAGTAAAATTGCGGGCAAATTAATTTTTCCGGTCAATTGCTGATTTTGCCCCGTCTAACGTAAAACAAGTAGAACTTCACAACAGTGAGTTCTTATGGTTAAGTTGACATATTAAATATAAACATACTGATGTTTGCCCAGAGTCAACAATATCCTACAAAAATACCTCTTGACAAAACTAAAAAGTTATGTGAGTTTGATGTGTTGAATTAATATTTTTCAAAGAATTTCTGATGCCTTCATACAAGGATCAAGTGTCGTAACATACTTGTATAATTACTTTTTGATATACTACTATAATGAAACACTTCATTCAGAACCTGACACTTTTTACCATTTAAGTTTACTTTACGTCTCAGTATGGCATTGATTTTAAAGTTCATCATTTTCATGATACATAATCAGTCCTCTAATATAATATTGCTTCTATAATTGCTACAGTATTACTGAATATTAAATCAATTTTTTTATTTTTTCATAATCATCATCCATTATCACAATAACTTTTCATTTGTTGGCAATTTAAAATAATGTAATCTATATTTTTTTGAAGTGCACATCTTTAAAAACTTCTTGGCGGAGAAGTAGTTACAATATAGTAAAATTCATCATTGTGGTGTCGTTCGTTGCAACCAAAACATATAATTGTTGCTATTTGTAGGTTTTTCAAAACTCGTATTATCAAATGGGCGACAAAATACTTAAAATGTAATAAACAAGATGTTTAGTCCACGAAAAAAGCTCATACAGTATTTTCTTCTATTTTTCTTTAGAGTGAGAGGCTAGACTGTAATATTTTTATTTTTTTTCTTAGTGGTCACGGTGGCGTAGCATTAGAGTAGCAGTTGCATCAATCTCTGAAGTTAAGCAGATTTTTGCGTGGTAAGTACTTGGATGGGTGACTGTTTAAGTCTTGTCATTTCACCTAAGCTATTCGAGAGTCGATCAATTGTTTCTCTTACGCTTTTTACGTGATCATATACATAATTATATAAGTCCTGGTGGTATTCATACGTACTTATCCTGGTAGTGACTTAGGTTGGAATTGTTGGGTAAAAAACACTATGCTTGTATAGTATCTCTGAGGCTAAGGTCGATGATGAATTATAATGAACAGACAATTTCATAATTTTGTAATAATTTCAACGTATGTTTAGATAAACTTACACATATGGGTCATTCTAACAAAAACGGTCTACTTCATGCCCCAGTCAATTACAACGTTATGTGAAGAGATATCGATCTGTAAAATTTTTTAAATAATCACGGGATGCTTTCTGCTAAAGGTACATCAGAATTCAGATCTTAAAAAGTATTGCTTTGGTTCAAGCTACAAAAAAGGGGCTAAGCATCACGAGCTCCGGCCTCCTTTGAAAATTCACAGATTTTACGACATCTATAGAAGCAAAATACGGATTTTGTTTTTTTACTGCATGAGATCGTGAGATTATTGAAATAAACAACATTTTCACGTATTTTCGAGAACTAAAAAAATTGTATCGAAGACTTGGATAGTGTTTAAATTATGAGATCAAAATAGGATAAGTATAATATTCCCTTTTAAAATGCTTTGACAACTGCACGAAACTAAATTTGGGCATATACATTTAAGCCCTTTGTATTAGTATTAAGATTCCACGTATACCTATTGCGGTTTCTTACGTATTCTACGTCCCTAATTTTTTATCCATAATTACCATCCTTTTCTCCAAGTATACGAGTCTTTCATGCGGGCTGATTGCAAAGTTTCCTTGAGGTGACTCAGTTATTTGTCCTACTGAGTACTATTTACAGGGCCCAGCGATTGTCTTGAGCACACGCCAGCTATTATAAACTTTAATGGAAAGTGTATTCCAATAAACCAATCTTACTCGCTGTACCGACCCTTTTTAAACCTGACAGAGACTTTATCCAATGATCTTGCCAGGTATTGGCTTTTCTTTCGAACAGAAAGCCCCTGGAGGCTCAGACAGACCAGAAGAATCGACTACTTATTTTCAAAAATCGAATAAGTGGTATTTCGACTTCCTGGATACTCATCCCATTAAAAAAGGCTGAGGAAAAATTACGCAAACGTTTTGTATTTTACAGAGTTCAAGAATGTTGCAGGAACTTTTCTGATTTTTCCAAAACGACAAGCCAATACTATAGGCTAGAAAATTTGTAAATTCCTTCCTTCCAAAATAAAAACAAAGAGCCCGTAACGCTAAAAAATTCCATGTAACTTTGCAAAGTGCTAGACTATCCACTAGGAAGTTAGTAAATAATAATAAAACTGATTTGTATGTTATATAAGTGCAGTGTCAAAGTTTTCAAAAACATTTGGTGCATCCCAATAATATAGAAAACCAAATGATTTTTATCATATAAACGTCGTATTATTTTAACTTGTAATAAAACAAGTGATATTGAGTGTCAAGAAGTAAAAAATAGTTATACTACGACTTTGACAGTGTTATATATTATTAAAAATTGGCTTCATGTTAGTTGTTCACATGCTCTAGTTTGTAAAACATCGATTTGTACTATGTCCCGGTGTTTCATAAAGTATATTATTACTAATTCCAATAATGATAGGACAGA